ATATACGGACTCTGATTGGGCAGGAAATCAGATTGATAAAAAGTCCACATCGGGCTACTTCACTTTTGTGGAAGGTAACCTTGTCACGTGGAGAAGCAAAAAGCAAAAGGTGGTTGCTAGATCAAGTGTAGAAGCTGAATTTCGAGGCATGTCTCATGGTATGTGCGAACTACTATGGATTAAACATATATTACAAGATTTGGGGATTGATTATAAAGATCCTATGAGGCTACATTGTGATAATAAGGCTGCCATTGAAATCGCACATAATCCTGTTCAACATGATTGTACAAAACATGTTGAAGTGGATCGTCATTTTATCAAGGAAAACCTTGATAGAAAAGTTATACAATTTCCGTTTGTCAGATCTGAAGATCAATTGGCTGATATACTCACAAAAGCAGTCTCAGGAGGAACGTTTATTTACACAATCAGCAAGTTGGGCATGATAGACATCTATGCTCCAACTTGAGGGGGAGTGTTAACATGAGCTGTATATCTAGCCTATCTAAGTAAATTATTCTGACTGATTTCGCATATTAGGATAATTGACTAAGATATTGTAATTTTTTAGGATCCTTCTATGGTTATGACACTTACTATTTTTTTCATATAATTATCCTATTATATATCCTCCATTGGAGAAGAATACAATTATCAGAAAATATTTTCAGAAAATACAGCTTAACATAAATGATAACATAATTTTTTGTTTAAGTGGTAAGCTTACTGGCCTAATCTATATGTCTAGGGATCAAATCCCCTCTTATGTAAGACTGAAAAATTAATTTTTGAAGTTAGGTAAAAAAAAAATCAATCAAATAAGATCTTTGAGTTAGGAATGACAATGAAACGGGTTCAAGGATGGGATCCCATTCCTCCTCCCTCGCACCATCCCAGAGTTTCAAGCTAGGTGTCAGAGCAAGGTTGAAGGACACCAAATAACCATTTATGATTTTAATATTATATATTAATTATTAATTAAAAATTTAAATATTATATAATTAAAATTATGTTTATGTTTGGTCCCTATTTTTTCAAAAACTCATTTTTTCAAAATTTATTTTTAACCACACATTCTCCTATAAAATAATTGTACACATAAATTCAAAATTTTTATTATTTTTTAACCACTTTTTTTCCACAAAACACTATTTCAAAATGTATTTTGGTCAAAAAATGAAGCTCAAATAATGGCTAAGCAAATTATAAATTATTGAAAAAACTTGAAAAAAGTATACAAAACTACTTTATTTAAAGAGCTTCATTTTCTAATAAAAGTAATAGATTTTCGATGTGTGAAAAAATGAAACTCTTTAGTAAAGTTCCAATATTTCAATAATAGAAGCAGAGAAAAGATCTCAAATCGAAATCTTGAAGTAGATATGCAGAAAGAGAAGGCTATGAAACGAAGTGGTAGATCTACTTATTATGACAAATAATGAAAATTACATTTTAATGGAACATTTTTTTTCTCTATTTAGCCTATTAATATTTTTATATACTATACTATTTTAATACATAAATATAATTATAATATTATTAATTAGAGCAGAGACCATTGTCTCTTCCACAACTACATCTTTTTCTTTTCTTCTAAACATTTCTTGCCACTATGTGCTTTTTATGTTGCATGCATCCATGGCTATATGGCCTAGATAAGAAAAGAAGTAGAAAATCTTACCCATTTCTTTTCATCCACATTATCAAGAAATATGGGTAAGATTTTCTTCTTATTCACACTAATTTTATTAATTATTTTTTCACAGAAGGGGAAGATAAAGAAGAAAGCACGATTTCAAAGAAATGGGTATAAATCTCTTTGTTATTGAGCTTGATTCATAATCTCATAGAGGTCACTGAAATGTTTTGAAAGTTATTAAAAGAAAATGAGCCATATTATTATACACACACACACATAGATGTCTATTTACGGTCTTTATTCTGTAATTTTCTGGAGAGTGCAAAGGCCTGTTCTCTTTGTGTTGTCATTTTCTGTATTCAGTTTTGAATTCATCTTTAGTTTTCTGTTTTGAGGGAATATTTTCAAATTACAGAAAAAACGTGTTTGATTTATCATTGTGATAAATGGTTTCTCAAAACAGAAAAATAGAAAATGTTTTTGGTTTAAAATTTTTAGAAATTGTTTTTTGACATTTATTTAATTATTTTGATTATTTAGTAAATAATAATAATTTTATGCTTTTTCTTTTCTTGCTACAAAAATAAAATAATAAATTTATAGACCAAAAATAGAAATCATTGTAAAGAAAATAGCTAGTCTGTCCTTTGTCCTTCTAGATGTATTTTAGTTGTCACTTGGACAGTAAAAAATGAAATAATAGTTCTTCCAAGTTTTGATAAAAAAAAATTAAAAATAATAATAATGTAAAATGAAAAATGTTTTGTGGGTTTTAAAATTATTATGCTTCATTAAATTGTATCAGATTACAACATTTTATTTTAAAAGTACTGCTGAGCATCCACTTGGTAAAAAGAATAAAAAAAAAAAAAAATTAATTGGCATGTTTTGAGTTTTTTTAACTGAAAACACTCAAAACGGAAAAAAAATCATTTTGAATTTTTAGTTATAAATTTTTCCTTATTTTAGGAAATACATTTTCAGAAATGACAGACCAAATACGTTTTGGACTTTTTCAGAAACATAATTAATTATGTGTAGTACATCCTGACTATTCTGATTCTCTTGCTCATCTTATAAATTATTGTATCACTGAAATGTTTTTCCCCTCACTTTTCCTGTGGTCTGCATTATTCATAACTTTTAGTCAAGATGATATATATAGCTATTAGCGATGTCAATTTGGCTTGGCTCGAGAAAAGCTCGGCTCGGGCCAGCTCGAAGCAAGGTGGAATCGAGCCCAAGCTCAGGCGCTGAGCCCCATGTAGCTCGCGGACTAGCTCGTATAAGGAAAAAAAGACAAAACAGTAGCATAAAAGGCAGCCACGCCTGTATGAGCTGCCTATCTATTATTTAATAAAAAAATCAAGCCGGATCGACTTGGCTTGAACAAAAAAAAAGCCCAAAGAAAAGCTGTGAGGGGTAAGTGAGTGCAAGATCCGCCCAAAGCGGACAGTACGCAAGACCTACCCAAAGCGGACAGTACCAAGATTCAACTTAAATCTCTCTTATGTAGAGGTCAATAGTTCGAATCCTGGGGAACGCGACAAAAAGTCGTGAGAGGTAAGTGGGCGCAAGGCCCACCCAAAGTGGACAGTACGTAAGCTAACGGCTTGGGCGAGAGGTCTGAGTCATTACAAAAAATGCTCCTTTTTTTGTAACGATCCGGACCTCTCGCCCAAGCCGACAGTACGTAAGATAACGGTTTGGGCGAGAAATCCGGGTCGTTACATGGGTGGCTATGATCAATCGTCGACGATGGTGCTGATGTTGATGTTGGCTGGGAAAGGGGATAAGGTGTAGGATGAGGGTGAAGGCTTGAAGAAGAGAAACCTTTTTTTCCTTTTTTTTTTTGGGTCAAAATTGGTCAAATTCACTTTTTTTGATCAACTAATAATCAAATGGATGGTTTCCATTTAGTTGAACTTGAGGTGTATATTTATGAAAGATTAAGACTTTCGTTGGCATGAGCTTAGGGTAAAGTATATAAAATTGAAAAAATTAGAGACCGCTATTGCAATTTTCCCTAACAATAATGTATGTACAAAAATGCTAACCAGCCAGGGATGAAAACATGGTTAAAAACAGGGATTTGAAATTTTTGATGACGTGGCAATTATTGCACATTAAAAAAAAAAAACTTAACTTGAAACCACACAAAATGGGACGACCACAGTTTTCAGGAAGCAAAAGCGGGAAAAATGTGTTGCCCTCCCTCACTCCCGCCACCGCACCCATGCCGACCGGAGCATCTTCACCGGTAATCAGTTGATCTCCGTTCATCTCGGCTCCCAAAGTACGAGAAAGCAAAAGCGGGAGTGAAAACTTGAGTTGCGAACCCACCCTCCCTCCCTCCCGCCACCGCACCCATTGACCGGAGCATCTTCACCGGTAAGGAGCTAAGTCCTTTTTGTAATTTAAACTCAAACTAAGAAATTCGGGACTTCATTCTTCTTCAGTAATCAAGAAACATGAATAGGTTTTATTGTTAGTGGGTATATATTATTCATTGAATGGAAGGGAAAATGTGATTACGTTTTATCAGAATGATTGTATTCAAACGGTAAATTGATAGTTTCATTTTTATTTTTTACTTCCAGGTGGGAGGAGATTTTGGGGATTTCCGAGCTTGAAAGGTGGCCGTCGGAGTAGTGACCGGAAAAGTTAAACGGATAGGATCGGTTGGTTTATACGAGTTCTTTGTGTATCAGTTTATAATATAATAATTTTTTTCCATGCTATTCCATAATCAATGAATTAGAATTGCACTGTCTGAGGTTGGTTTTGAGGTAGAAATGCGCAGGGTTTGGCTTGTACGTCCTGGAAAATTTATGTTGTGTGCATCATTTATCCTACCTGAGAGAGTGGCAGATGCAAAAACAGATTAAATATTGTAAACAGGAGCTATCACGTTGAACATAACTTTCATTTATAGAACAAAGCAACAACTATGTTGGGGATTATCATGGCGTCTGAAAGTGCTTCTATAATAATTAAGATATAAGGAAAACTAGAAATAAATACACCATTTGTCTCTCATCAACTTGCTATCAATTTTTGTTTTCAAGAGATGAATCCATATCAATAAAATTTCCACTTGGAAAAATCTCCCATAAAAATTTTTAGATTAGTTTACTGATAACGAAATCCCTATATTAAGCAAGAATCCTTTGGATACCATGAATAGTCATTGCATTACATGTTATAATTATATGTATGTTAGATTCAAATTAATCGAGAGAAATCTTTCAATTTTTTATGGGGATAGAGAGCCGAATTGGGATTTGTCCTTCAAATTTTTATGGTTCTTGTAAAATACTGCTGTAATAACCCTTTTATTTTTGCAGCAGAATAAAGTATGGAAGACGTAGAAGATGAGCTTGTTGATGTTTTGATGGAATTCGATACTGAGAATATTACGGAGTTTGTGAATGTAGTCGAAGACGAAACATCAGGAGGGGATGGGTTACAAGTGCCTCAGGTGGGTATGTTATTCAAGCATGAAGAAGATATGTATAACTTCTACAAAAAATATGCTTATGCCGTTGGTTTTCCCGTGAAAAAAAGGAATTCGAAAAAGGGGGAGGACGGAGTATTGAGATACCTAACGTTAACATGTAGTCGTGAAGGACGATTAAATGGTAATACTAGTAGTTCAGTGAAGCCGCAACCTACGGTTAAGATGGGTTGTAAAGCAAGGATATCTGCATCTTCAGATATGTTGGGAAATTGGAGAATTAACGCGGTCCACCTAGAGCACAATCATGAGACAAGTCCATCTAAGTCCAGGTTATATCGATGCAACCGAACTTTGACTGCACATGTGAAAAGGAAGCTTGAAGTAAATGATTTAGCAGGGATTTCGTTGCATAAGAGTTACAATTCCGCAGTTGTAGAAGCCGGTGGATATGAGAACATGACTTGCATTGAAAAAGATTGTCGAAACTATGTCGAACGAGTTAGGCGATTACGACTTGGAGAGGGCGATGCTGCAGCAATACAATCATACTTCTCAAGAATGCAAGCTCAATGTTCGGGATTTTATTTCAGTATGGATTTGGACGATGATTCGCGACTAAGAAATGTATTCTGGGCAGATAATCGGTGTAGGCTAGTGTACAAGGAGTTTGGTGATGTGGTTACTTTTGATACCACCTATCTTACTAATAAGTATGACATGCCATTCGCCCCCTTTGTTGGCGTCAATCATCACGGACAGTCAACATTACTTGGTTGTGGGTTGCTGTCGAATGTGGACACTGAGACCTTCGTATGGTTGTTCAGAACATGGCTTCAGTGTATGTATGGTGAAGCTCCGCAAGCTATAATTACCGATCAGGATAGAGCCATGCAAAATGCAATTGAGATTGTCTTCCCGCGGACGAAGCATAGATGGTGTTTGTGGCATATTTTGAAGAAACTCCCGGAGAAGTTTGGATACCACGTGGATAAGGGCTTGATATTTGGGGCTATACATGATTTAGTGTATGATTCACAGTCAGAACATGAATTTGAAGAAGGTTGGATGGCGATGATTGACACCTATAGTTTGCAGCAAAATAATTGGTTGTCAGGATTATATGAGAATAGAGGGCGTTGGGTGCCTTGTTTTTTGAAAAAAACTTTTTGGGCAGGAATGTCAACAACACAAAGAAGCGAGAGTATGAATGCATTCTTTGATGGATATGTGCATTCGAAGACATCGTTGAAGCAATTTGTCGAACAGTACGAACGTGCTCTCAGGAATAAGGTCGAGAAGGAATTCCAAGCTGATTTCAAGTCGTTCTCTCAAATGATACCGTGTGCAACACAGTTTGAAATGGAAGAACAGTTTCGGTCAGTTTACACCATATCGAAATTTCGGGAAGTTCAAGAAGAGTTCACGGGTAAGGTGTACTGTAACGTCATATCTACGTCGGAAGGATCTTCTGAGACAAGGTATAATGTACGGGAGACTATTATGTATGATGGTCGTCGCAAGAGAAAAAATTGTGTCGTCTCATTTGTGAGAAATAATTGCGAAGTTGTTTGTAACTGCCACTTGTTTGAGTTTAGGGGAATACTTTGTAGGCATGCAATAGCGGTTCTGGACTGGAACGACATCACATGTATTCCGAATTGGTATATTTTACGGAGATGGAGGAGGGACATTCGTAGAGCGCACACGAGAGTTCCAGTAAACTATGCAGGGTTAGAGACTACTCCTGCACAATTAAGATATGAAGAGATGTCGAAGGGATTTGCACAGGTGGCAGACCTTGCTGCAGATGACGAAATGCGGTCACGTGCAATAATGGAGTGGATAAAATCTCAATGTGAAGATATAATGACTACAAGATCTGGTGGTGGTAGTAATCCCATACCGTCGCGTACCACGGAGGTGTCGAATGATTGTGCGGTCGTGTCAAAGTTAGCGAGCGGAAGCATACGGGATCCACAAGTAGCTCGACGAAAGGGTGCGCCCAGGAAGCTTAGAAAAAGAAACCCATTGGAGATAGCATCTAAGAAAGCAAAGGTATGCTCGAAAACTGCGCTTTATATTTCCAATTGTTTAAATTTACATCTATGCAATTCTCTGTGAATGCAGTCTAGCGGGACATCATCCACTACTATGCGACCAAGAAATAGAAATACGAATGTGGTGGATGACGCAATGAACTTTCAGTTGCCTCGACAATATTCCATACCGACCCCGACGTCGTACTTGTCCAATGACATGTTGACACCATTATCTTTGTCACAACTGTCCATGCCCACACCGTTTCCCTTTCCCAACATGTACCCTTTCAAAATTTTGTCTCTCCATCCGCGGCTACAATCATGCAAAATTCACAAGGTATAAACCAATGTTGTAGACGATTTTAAATTTCATTATGTTGTGAACACATGATTAATTATTTCTTATGGTATTCTATTGTAGGTCAACCATCGACGAACTACTATCAAAATTTATTGGATGACGGTGGCAGCCTATAGCAAGGGGGCTATGATTGAATTTTTTTTTACATCAAGAGTTTCAATTCACAGTACTCGGATGAAGATGTATTTTGGCATTTCCTAGTATTAAGGCAATTACTACTTTGCCTATTTTGGCAACTTCACAAGTTTTAAGTTGGCTGAATTTTTTTGAAATGTTGACAGCTCTAGGTTCAAATTAAGTGTGATTTCATGTACTGGACAGCTGATCATCTTTGTTCTTGCACTAGCCATGATGAAATAGTTTCGAAATGTTTATTATTGCCATTTACTGAGTTGCTCAAATGTGAATCCTAGCTTATATGGAGATTTTTTTTTTTATCTTATATAAATTTTTAGGATGACAGCCATGTATTCAATTTGAAACACATGTAAAATGCTTTGATGTAAATTTACTTTGAAACACAGATGTAAAAATGCTTTGATGTAAATTTAAACAATTGAAACGTTCTCTAAGCTACACTCCAGTCCATTCTCTTCTTTTTTAGTAGCTGCACTCCAGTCCATTCTCGCTTACAAAATGGGCTGGACGGAGAGAGCATAAGGGACAGAGCTGGAGACTTCAACATTGACGCCTGCCTCAACTTGATTAAGCTCACTTTTGAAAAATGATTTGCAATTTCATAACAAAAAGAACCTGAACCTGGGCTTCGTTAAAAATTATAGGCAGCCAATGTTTGCCTTCATTTAAGCTTGTGAACTTGGAATACATAAACAATTCGAATGGAAAGGTATTAAATACATTAAGTACCCTACATAAACTGTAAGTAAGTCGCGAGAGTACAAATGTTTGCCTACAAAAAATGCTTGTTTTGGTACCAAGCTATTATGATATACAACCTCGCACCACACACCTCAACTACTTTACTTAATTAATCACATACAAGACTTTCAACCTCCACAAATAATGACAAGCTGATTCGGTTTTAATTGAGAAAATTAGGCTAGCCACTTTGATAAGTATCTTCAAGTCAAGCCGGCCGCTTCCCTTTAGCGTCCACATTTGCAACAATTTTCTCCTTCTTGATGCTCACGTTAACCAAAATCTGAAGCTCCTCTTCGTCACTTATCGTTACCCGAGATTTGAACATGCGGGACATTTCTTCAGCAGTGTCATTCATCATGGGGTTAGGAAATGTTGCGCTATCACGACTACATTGACCGCTTGAGTTTTCTTTCACGACCCACTCCCAAAATCCACAATTCCGGTTGCAGCAAAGGAATAGTTTCCCCTTATTGTGATTTTCCTTCTCCACCACAAAACATTTTTCAAATCCATACTTACATCGAGGGCAAGGGCGTTTCTTTTTGCATTCGGCAAACATATGATCCTTAGCTCTACAACTATGACAGATTCCGGAGTTCCTTCCAGGCATTCTACGATGGGAATAAAAAATCATACCAAATTCAGAATACTCGGACCATAGCATGTATCAACAACCAACATAAAACCAGTGAGCTTCAAGACAAGGCAGAAATGGAGATTCTCCAATTACCCGATCAAAACAAAAGATTTTTGCTGAGCCAGATGGGTACAGAAAATAAGTCAAATAAAAATATATAACCGACATGCATCCAGAGATGTAGAGCACGTATACTCACTCCCAAGTTCAAATGAATTGTACTCAATTGAGTTAATTCACTATATCTCTACTGTATGAAGATAAGTCCTAATAAAGATTACTCAATCACCAAAAATCCAATTAATAATCACAAAATTAGTACAAGCATATATTTACCTTCTACCTAAATTTCCATCTTTACACATAGACCAAATAAATAGCCTACCCTGTGGCTCGTTATCGTTCACAAATCAATGAATTAGTGATAACAAATTCAAAGCATGGTAGAAGAAGTAAAAATCTACAAACTGAGATTCCTGTATACTACAGTTCAAAGCACACACAAATCTCCTAAAGAAGAAGACACAAAAAGACACGATTCACCCTTCCAAATATATCAACCAACTGAGATTCTAGTAAATTAGAGTTCCATTTCAAATTCTATGGCATCAAATATAGAAATTTTGAAAACCTAACACGTTATTGACAAATTACTGCAAACCGAAACGACTAAATATGAAGGTGGCTAATAAAATAAAGAATCACAAGATCTTAGCTGTTTTTGGAGAACTTGAAAGGAAAAGAAATTAAAATCTCTTGGGTGTCTCAAAATTCTCAGAATACCTTAATAATTTCTTTACAAAATCATTAATAGGAGAAAAAATAGTTCATTTTTTCCAGTTTTCCCCTCTTCTTTGTCAGCTGACTACCGGCTCTCCAACCGGTGATGGGTGCTCCGCCTCGCGATGGTTGCTTCGGCCGATCGACGAAGGCGCGCTTGCAGGAATACTCTTCAGGGTTTGGGAGCAGGGAGCAATGAAGTGATGAGAAACAGTTCTCGGTCCTGCAGTTTCTTTCTTTTATTTTCTGTTGGTTTCTTTTCTTTTTTTTTATTGAATTATAATAATTGTGGGCCACCACACTAATTTTTAATTGCCTGTTTTCAACCCTGGCTGAGTAGCGGGATTGCTTCTTTTATATGTTGTGCAAATATTGACTAAATATGATAAAAAGACCTAGGCTTTGTCTAGGGGAGCTTCTCCCCTGATTTCTATCAAAATTGTGACCGTTGGTTGCCATAATTCTTGACCCATCCTCTCACGGGTGGATCCCAATGGGGAAAAAAGGTAAGATTTCCAATTAAAATCAAGATGAAAAGCTGTACCAGACGTGGTCCTAAATGCAACCTCAGATATTCCTCCGTCTTTGTTGACTCACTTTACACCCAATCCTTGATTTTAATAATTCGTCGATGAGTTTTTTCTCTTCGACAATGCCTCATGACACTGACACCCAACTAATAGGGGGTGCCTCATCACCCCCTATTTGGATAGGACGTTGTCCAAGTAACAGGGTCTTTGATGTCAAAAACAAAGAAACAAAATTGACAATCTTATTTTAAAATGAGTAATCTTTATTAGCAAATAGAAAAACCAATTATCAATTTTGTTTGAAATTATTAAAAAAAAAATCAAATAAATTATGGGTTAATTCCGTCAATTTTCATTTAAGTTATGAGTATTTATATCAATGGTCACAATACCCTTTTTTTTTTTTTCCTTATATTAATAATAATTACTCGAGTTTCTAATTTTTAACGTTAAATTTTATGCAGCATTAAGTGTTAACTATCTCACCAAATGACGTCATTTATCATCCCAAGCCTACAGGAAATGAGTAGTTAGGAGTTGAACATTAAACAGGTTCACATCACATAATCCAACTTTAATTTGGTAAGATTTTTATCTTAAATCGTATCTGATAAAATATAGGTTTATCTTAAGAACTGTTTGGACTTAGTGTAACAAATAGCAACGTTTAGTGACATGTCGGTACATGGTGAAATCACCTAAGAATGAATGTTAATGTATTTACACGACTGACCATTAATGTTATGATAACTGTATTTTATACACCTATTCGATACCTAAAATAACGATATTTGATGGTTCTTTTGACAAATTATATCCTAAATTTTTTTTGTATTTCACGTTTAATAGGTAAAATTCTATGAATGAAAAGGAATTGAAGGAAGCAAGCAAAAATGGGCAAAGAAATGACAAAGTCCAAAGTACGAGGATTAAATTGACTATTGGATGCAAAATTTGAAGATCAAATTTCATACTTTAAAAAGTGATGAACTTGAATTAAATCAAAGAATATATAAATTGCAAGAATGAAAGGACTCAAGGACTCATGATTTTCATGATCTAAAAAAGACAAAGGACTTGAAGTGTACTACATCATTAATGGTTTGAATTGGAGTCCTTTTTTTAGTCAAAAAGTGAAGCAGCTTTGGGGAAAAATTGGGCACCAAGTTGCTGAATATATGTACGGGGTGGCTGCCCTTATTAAAAGAAAAGACACGCACGGAAATTTGAGGGGCAGATTATTATTAATATAAGAAAAAGCCATCCATTTCTCCAATTCCAGTATGACGCCACCATAAACTTGAAGAAATTCAAGGAAAAATACGGTACCAATCCTGAAAAGTAAGACCTACCAGCAAAACTTTCGGCTAGAAATCATCCGATTGGCGATTACCTGACTAAAGGTTCGGCCTGCCTCTTCATCTTCTTCGGCGTTGCACACAGCACACTTGCACTTGCTTGTGGACGGGGGACCTGTGGTTTTAGGTTTTACTTGTTAGGGGTCGCGATTGTGCGTTCTTCATTGGTTTTGTCTCTTATGGCTTTATCAAGAATTAGATTGTTTATTACTATTAGTCATGTGCTGATGTTTAGATCCATTCTTACTGAGGATTGGTTATTTGTTTTCTTCTTTTACAATTTCACTTTTTGGGCTATGAGAGTATTTGTTATTTGTTTAATTTATATTGATTATACAGGACATAGAGGATTAATAAGATTATTTTTTTGTTCTTCATTTGTATGTACATACTTTTTGTGTCCGTAATATTTTTAATTCTTATTCTTGGTTGTAGTTATAGAATTGAATTTTGATTTAGTTCTACAATTATTTTTTATAAACTTAGCCAATAATTTATATGTATGTATTCAAAAGAATCAATACTTTTGTCCCTTCAAATAGAAAAGTGTGATTTTATAAAAGAGAAATTTATACAATAATCTATTATAATGTATGAATTATGAAGGAACCCAACCAGTTCAGTTCTCTCTCTCAAATAAAATATTTTCAGTTTTATAACTTTCAACCAAAACTGGTTTGATTTAGTAACTAGAAACTCAATCCAAACCGCCCAATTTACTCCTAAATTCATGAGTTTTGAGGGAGAAATTTGTTAAGTTTAAACATAAGATGTTACAATCTACAAGGGGATAGAACTAGATTAGCAAAACTGATTTTGATTAGTACTCATGGCTGAGATAGGTAGCGGTTGATTCGATGTTATCTTCGGTCAACCATGTCACAAGAGCGATTCAATGGATTAGCTATGATTTCTATTGAAAAAAATATGTTGGAAAAACTTGATTTCAGTAGGTTGATTACTAATTTTACATCTCAAAATGTGAGAAAGTTAAATCTTATGCTAGCTTTATCTCTCGAATTGTGAGAGAAGTTTTATTTTGCTATTCTATCTCTTGAATTGTATAAAGTTTTCTTTTTATTATAAAAGTATTAATTATTTAAATATTTACATATTATTACACTTCTAAAATAAATATTATATTGAAGGGCCTCATAATAACTACATGCCTAGGGCCTCTAAATTCTCATGGCCGGCCTTGAGAATTAGAAAGAGCATTCATCAAGCTAATCAGGTGCTTTTCTTTTATTCATATTGTTTGTTATGATTAAGTCCTTGGTATCATAGCAACCCTGTTCTAATTAGTTCATTAACGTTTTATTTTGAATTAGGCTAAACTTTTTTCAATGGACAATATGTCATCCCGTGGATTATCCCATGATTGCTATAAGCACTACAAGTTGAAAAGGTATAAAAAGTTTTATAAATGCGATGGATGCAAGATGAAAGGGTTTGGAGAAAGATACCAATGCTCTCGCTGTGGCGACTGTCTCCACAGAGAATGTAGGTACCCCAGATCCACCATTACTCACGAGAATTTTCCTGGCTCTACTTTCAGATTTTCTAGTAAACCATGCACAAAACTGGATAAAAACCATCGCAGACAGTTTTCAAAGTGCTGCAATGCATGTGGAAAGGACATATGCGGTTTTAGCTACCACTGTGAAGAAGACAAGTTGGATTTGCATCCATACTGTCGAAAACTTGAAGATAAAATAGTGTTTAAGCATACGATATTTGGTCTTGTCACAGAGTCTTCGTCCAAGTGTGTTAAGTGCGGAAAGCGGAAGATTGAAAACAGTGATGTTCAGGACTGGTCTTATGTTTCCCAGTGCAAAACGTATCGTCTTCATGTGTATTGTATGACTGATATGATACAAGAGGCGTATGAGGATTTGACATTGAAGAAAAGTGATTCACGAGAATTAGTAAGATATAACGAAAAGGGAAAGGGTAAAAATACCTTCGTCACCTGTGCCAAATGGGTTATCAAAATTCTATTTTCTACTCTTTTGGGTGATATTACGTTGCTGATATCCAATTCCATCGTGGAGTTTCTCTTTCTTTCCTTGCAACTTTAGTGTCTTTTTCTTCGTCCATTTTTCAGTGTGGATGGTGTAAATAAGTATTGCTTAAATAAATAAATAACATCAACCTATTCATTGTTTTGTCTCTAGTGGCGACTATTCATTGTTGTTGGTCGCCGGACTTCAGTTTGCTTCAATATGATTGTTCGATATACAATTTTATTTCCTTTTGATAGTTCCATCAGTAAACGTGACCAAAACTAATGAAAAAGTTGAAATATTTTTTATTAAAATTTTATCAGGTAAACACTTTATGAAATAAAAGACGATCATCATTTTTTGAATGTCAAGTCATGAAGTTCCGCCACTCCAAGTGGGAGGACGGAGTCATTGATTGAAATCAAATTTAAAGTGTAGTTACCTAATTGAATAAAACTAAAATACAATTACTTAATTGACACTAAGTGAAAATATAGGCACTACAAATGAAACTCACCCACCTTTGATAACTCCAATTCATACTATTTTCTTTCCCTCTTTCGTCTTCTAGTTCCTTTTCTACGTGGAATTAGGCTGCATGAAGCACGAAGTTTCTCAACAAATTTGTCCTATATAAACCCGAAGAGAAATTTCAATACTATTTTGTATATTTTTATTTAATTATGTCTAATCTTATTCGGTTCACAACCCACCGAACCAAGATTTCGAGCAGCTTAGATTAATGAATAAATTGTGTATGTATATCTTCTTTTTATTGTTGATGCAAATGTTTATCCCACTTCAAAAATCTTACTAAATGTGTTGAAGGAGAAGGCTATAAAACGGAGTGGTTAACTGTTGTGCATGTGACTCATATAGAGTAGAATACAGGCCCTGGATCAAATGGGCCGATGCTGGCGCGGAGCGATTGTTGGATTTTATGCGCAATATTAAAGAGATGAAAACGAAAATCAATACAAGAATTTTACGTGGTTCGGTGATGTGCCTACGTCCACGAGAGAAGTTTGACGGATCTGAGAACTTCGGATTATGGCAGCGAAGGGTGAAGGATTTGTTGGCGCAGCAAGGGATGATGAAGGCACTATCTGGGAAGAAACCAGAGGGTACGTCAGATGCCGATTGGGAAGAGCTCGAGACGCGAGCAGTTGGTACAATTCGGCTTTGTTTGGTGGACGAAATCATGTATCACGTCATGGACGTTGAGTCTCCGGTGGAGGTTTGGGAGAAATTGGAGAGTCGTTATATGTCGAAGTCTCTCACGAACAAGCTGCATCTAAAGCAGCGGCTGTACGGGCTGAAGATGTTGGAGGGTACGGATCTGATTCAACACATCAATGTGTTCAATCAAATCATCAGCGATCTATTGCGACTTGAAATCAAGTTTGATGATGAAGACAAGACAATGATTTTGTTGTGCTCACTTCCTCATTCGTGTGACCACGTTGACGTGGGGTAAAGAGACTCTCGAATTGGAGGAAGTCACATCAGCCCTGTTAGCCTACAACTAGCGGAAACTGCGTACTGGTGAAACTTCACAGGGTGAAGGGTTGATCGTAAAGGGCTACCAGGATCGTGGGAGAAGGAAGGACAGAGTTGTTTCTTTTAGAGGGAACACAAGATCAAAATTTAGGAATCAAAATAAGAAAAACGTGAAGTGCTACAAATGCCATCAGATGGGCCACTTTAAGAGAGACTGTCCCAATAAGAAGCAGAGTGATGAAAGGAAAGGTGATGGGTCCTCAAACTCGGCTAGTGTTGCAGAAGGAGACTCGGATTCTGGAGATGGAGACATGTTATCAGTCTCTGCAGGTAATTCTGTAAAATTAAATGACTGTTGGGCACTTGATTCAGCCTGTTCATATCACATGTGTTCTCACCGAGATTGATTTCATTCATATCATTCTGGTAATTTTGGATTTGTTCTGATGGGTAATGATGCATCATGTAAGGTCATTGGAATGGGGTCCATAAATATAAAATGTTCAATGGTGTGATAAGGACCTTGGAAAATGTTAGGCATGTACCTGAGTTGAAAAAGAATCTAATTTTTTTAGGCACTTTAGACACAAATGGTTACTCTTATAAGTTAGAGTGTGGGGCTCTAACAGTGAAGAAATGGGCTATGATTGTGATGAAGGGTCAGAAATTAGTAGAGAATATCTACAAACTACTTGGGGATACAATTGTAGGTGGAGTTGCTACAGCAGAATCTGAGTCAGATGACACTCTTTTATGGCATATGTGACTGGGGCATATAGGAGAACGTGGCATGGTTGAGCTTCACAAGAGGAATTTGTTGAAGGGGGTAAAATTATGCAAGCTGAATTTCTGCAAGTTCTGTGTACTTGGAAAACAGTCCAAAGTACAATTCAAGATGGAAAAGCACAAGACAGAGGGAATTTTTTATTACGTACACTCAGATGTTTGGGGACCAGTGAGGGAGTTCTCCAAAGGTGGATCTCAGTATTTTATTACTTTCATTGATGACTTCTCTAGAAAAGTTTGGGTATATTTCATGAAGCACAAGTCTGAAGCCTTTGCCAAGTTCAAATTATGGAAAGAAGAAGTAGAGAACCAGATGGGTAGAAAAATTAGGTATCTGAGGACAGATAACGGTACAGAGTATACAGATTCACAGTTTCTGAGATTTTGTGAGGAGCGTGGTATTCAGATGCACTATACAGTTCGCAAGACACCGCAACAGAATGGTGTTGCGGAAAGAATGAATAGAACAATTGCAGAACGGGCAAGATGTTTGAGGCTGAATGCAGGGCTCTCAAAGAGTTTTTGGGTAGAAGCAGTGAACATGGCATGTTATGTCATAAACAGATCACCACGAGTAGCACTAGATGGGAAAGTTGTAGAGGAAGTTTGGACAGGTAATGAAGTTGATTATTCTGAATTGAGAGTATTTGGTTGTCCGGCGTATGTGCATGTATCTAGTGATCAGCGATCCAAACTTGATCCGAAATCAAGAAAATGCATTTTTCTGGGCTATGTTAAAGGTGTAAAGAGATACAAGTTTTGGGATCCAGAGACAAGGAAGATGGTGATAAGTAGGGATGCAGTATTTGATGAAGCATTCATGCTTAAAGCTTCTACAGATAAAGAGAAGCTCGATTCAGACGAGGGCAGAGGTAAGAGCCAACTGGTGCAAGCAGAGCTAGACAATGTAAACACAAAAATTAATGCTCAGGGAGCAGATAGTTCTGGGTCAGAGGTGGAGCAGTATCATAATGTTGCCTTAGATAGACCACGTCACACTACCAAGCCACCAGCAAAGTATGGATTTGAGGATTCGATTTCTTATGCACTCATTACCAGCAATAGCGATCCTATAACTTTTCAGGATGCCATTGGTAATCAGGAGAAAGGTAAATGGATAGAGGCTATGATGGAGGAAATTGAGTCACTGCATAAAAATGATACTTGGGAATTGGTGGAGCTTCCAGAGGGGAAGAAACAGATAAGGTGTAAGTGAGTGTATAGAAAGAAAGAAGCAATGTCAGAAAGGGAAGGAGAAAGATACAAGGCTCGATTAGTAGCAAAGGGATACTCACAGAGGAAGGGAGTAGATTATGATGAAATTTTCTCTTTGGTCGTTAGACACACTTCCATCAGGATTGTTTTGGCAATGGTGGCTAATTTTGATTTGGAGTTAGAGCAGCTAGATATGAAGACTGCTTTCCTTCATGGTGATTTGGAGAAACAGATTTTCATGGAGCAGTCAGAAGGGTTTTTGGAATCAGGAACAGAGAATCTTGTGTGTAAACTGAAGAAGTCTTTATACGGGCTTAGGCAGTCTCCACGGCAATGGTACAAGAAGTTCGACTCTCATATGATTCAGATTGGTTACAGTCGTTGTGAGTATGATTATTGTGTTTACTACAGAGTTCTTGAGGATAACTCATATATTTTCTTGATGTTGTACGTGGACTACATGTTAATTGCTACTAAGAACGTGGATGAGGTAGACAAATTGAAATATTTGTTGAGCAGTAAGTTTGATATGAAAGACTTGGGACCGGCTAAGAAAATTCTTGGCATGAAGATCAACAGAGATAGGAAAGTCAGAAAATTATGAGTGTCTCAGAAAAGTTATTTGAAGAAAGTGTTAGAGAGGTTTAGCATGTCAGATGCAAAATCAGTTGCCACACCACTTGCAAATCACTTCAAATTGTCTAATAATCAGTGCCCAAAGAATGAAGAAGATGTTGCAGAGATGTCAAAGGTACCTTATGCTAGCGCAGTTGGATGTTTGATATATGCAATGGTGTGTACCAGACCAGATTTAGCACATGCAGTCAGTGTGGTTAGTAAGTATATGGCTAATCCTGGTAGAGAGTATTGGAGAGCTATAAAGTGAATTTTCAAGTACTTGAAAGGTACAATGGAGTGCGGGATCATGTTTGAGAGACAACATGGTGATATTTCAGTTCAAGGATATGTAGATGCAGATTATGCAAGGAACTTGGATAACAGAAGGTCCCATACAGGTTATGTTTTCACACTCGCAGGTGGGCCCATATGTTGGAGGTCAATGGTGCAATCACTTGTGGCATTATCTACAACTGAAGCAGAGTACATGGCGGCAACTGAGGCAGCCAAGGAATTATTGTGGTTGAAAGAGCTTGTCAGGAAACTTGGGATCAAGCAAGATGGAATGAAACTGTACTGTGATAGTCAGAGCGCCATCTTCCTAGCTAAGAATCAGATTTATCATGCAAGAACCAAGCACATTGATGTGAGATTTCATAAGATAAGAGAGTTGGTTACTTCAGGAGAGCTGTTGTTAGAGAAGGTGCATTCGTCAGAGAATGCAGCAGACATGATGACAAAGCCAATCACAATGGATAGGTTCAAGCATTGCTTGAACTTGATTAACATCTCTAGCTGTTAGAGAGGATGTGCCCCAACCCATTGGTCCTAAATGATGTGATTTTTTCAGGTTATGTTTTTTCTCCTAAGGGATGAATATTCGCCAAGGTGGAGATTGTTGTACATGTGGCTTATATAGAGTGGAACACAGGTATTTTTTGTACGGGGCCTTACAGTTTTATATGGGCTCAGGCTAGGGTTAGTATAAATAATATGTTGTAACCCTATTCTTATTAACTGAATAAAGAAATCTCCGCTTCGCTCTCGTGGACGTAGGCACA